TGAGAAGAATATGCTTCCTTTCTTTAACATCAAGAAATGGTTAGATATTCTAGTCTTCTCGGATAGGGACGAATAAATGGAGGTCCCGTCTCCTGCAGGGTTGGGGTAGGAGACGTTAATTTCCCACGCACGAGATTACTGTGTGATGGATGTCCTCCCTGGGGTGGGTTGGGTGGGTAGGTGAAATCGTTACGGACTAAACACGGCTGCCAGAGGCGCCTGTCTGATTTCAACCTCAAAAATTGTAACTAAACACGTATGTTGTTTAGAGAAATAGAGACCTTTACCTTTACCTTTATCCAAAAAATGGTCCAAAAAATGGTTCAGAAAATAGTCCAGAAAATCGTACAAAGAATCGTCCAAAAAATCGTCCAGTCCAGTCTATATTTTACCCTATGCCCTAAATAGATGGCATCGTTCACAATTTTCAAAGTGTAATGTTTGCTGACGCTTTCGGGTTTTTTAAATGTTTATTTATGTTGTGGTTCTGCTTTCTGTTAGTGTTTCATTGTTGCCATAAATAGAGGAAAGCTTCAATGTAAACCACAACTTTTCTGTGCTCAGCACTGTAAATGCTTATGGAGCCTAACATGATTTTTTTTTACGTGTTACCAAGAAGAAAATTGATTACGTAACGCGCTTTATTTTCTCGCGAGTACCATGAACTCGCCCAAGGGAAGATTGAAGTCGGAAATGGTTCGTTGGCTTTTAAGAGCTTGACAACAATGTGTTGATAACGGCTTAAGATTATTGTTTGAGGTTTCCTACGTAATTTGAAATGTAAACTTTGCAATTATTTCTTAGCATCATTGTGGTCGGAAAAAAATTAAAACAATTTAGTTCTCTGACATCTTTAACGTCGACCACATTGTCGTTCGGAAAGATTATTTTGGCGCTTTGTCACAAAAGCGGAATGAAAGACATTTCGCCACCAGCAATGTTTTAATGTGTCTGCCTTTATTGTTTAGTTTGAAAAGATCCAAAGCTGTTCTTAATCACATTGATAAGAACTTCATAAAGGCACAAGGAACTGAATTGCTCTTTGTACTCAGAACCAAAGTAGACAAAGAAGTTTTCTATGTAAAAATTGTCCCTTCTTTCGAATTTTCAGAGCCGCAGTGAGTTTTTTATGAATTTTTGTTGGCTCCTTCGACAGCCTAAGGGCGAAAGACCATACAGAATACTGAGTGCTCTTAATTTCCACCTTAAAATGTCTTTATTTCAATTCATAGATTTATTAATTTATGCAAAGTCACACTCTAAGTGTGCCTAAACACAGGAAAACGGCTATTTTAATTTTACGTTCATAAAAGACACTTTGTCGTTATCCAAGTGTTCTAGAGTTGACTGGTTGCACTCAAGCGCAATCGAGACACCTTACAGACTGAGATAATCGCACGCGATAAACGTCGAATAACTTGCTTCCGTGACTCTTGCCGAAGCTCTTTAGTTTCAGACAAGTTGAATACAATGTCTTCACTTCTATTTGGATCCAACTTGAAAGGAAAAAAAACGTAAAGCAACAAAATCGCCAACCGAATCATTCTTCTGTCCAATAAAATTATTGTTGTCGCAAAGGAGAAGCCGATTGATTTTGTTTTGTTCTTAAAAGTGCAAAATGAGTCCTTGCTGATAGAAAGTGCTTTTCTTATCAACCTTTGTCCACCTTCCAACATTTTTTCAATAACGGCCTTATATTTCCCTTCATTCTTACGATTCTTTCTTTCATGTGGAGACTTAAAATTTAGAATTTTTTTTTATTATTGAAAATGATTAAGATTGCCGGACAGACAAAGCACCCCAAATTAGGGAAGGTCTTGTGGTAAGAAGTCAAATTGGACATGGCTCTCAAAATGGAAAATTAAATTATGGGCGTGCAGTGATGTTACGTAACATCATGAAAATGTCTGGTGTACTTTGCTAAACAAAAAGAAGGCAACTCATAGGTTAATAAATTAACTACCTCTTTATTAGACTCATAGAAAACAAAATAAGGCATTCTATAAATATCGTCAACGAATGTTTTAGCATGAACAACGAGATGAGACTCAATTACTTGCTAAACTTAATGATTGAATGTTGTTCAGTATAAATCCATTCTTGAAACTGAAATTCCTTATGTGAATTTCTTGAGTGAACGATCCGTTATATTTTTCGGAATGCTCTCACTGCTAATGTCAATTAAATCGCATTTGGCTGTTCATGCCGCTGAAACAGTTAAAACGAGTGTTTAGAGGGAAAAGAAAGGATGACTTTAGCACCGAGATATTCAGAGGCAATTCTTACTGTATCTGTCAGCTTGGCTAGCATAGCGCTGGGATGTCCTCTAGTTACTTTGTACCCTTAAACCTGCGGGAGTGACCAAGACAGAATTTCTCCTTGCAATGTCAATACAGTATCAAGCTAACAAGTGATGAATGAATTAATGAATGAAAAACTTTCTATGTGTCTATGTTTTTAGCTATAAGCTAATGGGGGACACAAAAAAATTTAAAAGTAAAATACATTTACATATGTAGATAATAGTTATTTACATTAGATAACTAAAAAGATTATAAAGTTATTTAGTTAAGTTTTAAATTTCAACAAGAGTTGAAAGGTCGACTTTTCTTATGTTCTTCTTGAACAAATTTAGAGTTTCTGACGTTCTTAGGTGTCTTGGTAACTTCGACCAAATGAGAGTTCCATATATTTAATAGAATTCCTACCAAATCTTAGAGTTTCGAATCTTGGCAGTTCGAAGTCACTGTTCCGTAAGTTATACTGAGTGTTCTTGATATTAAATAGGTCAGAAATATTCTCGAGTACGAGACTGTGCTTAACTTTAAACATCAGAGTGGAAATGTCTTGCATGCGCCGATTGTACAACATCGGTAGTTTGGCGCGATGAGAATAGAGAAAAATATCAATTAGGGCATTTTGAAGTAATTGATCCCATACCAAATTCTCCGAACTGACATTACAAGAATGATAACTGTATTACAGACAGTAAGAACGATTCTGAACTAATGAGACTGGGACTAAAAGGTTTGATTAGTAGGGTAACCCTCTAAGCAGGGTAACCGTTACCCTTCACTGTACAATGATTTACCAATGTCTTCAAAATGTGGTAGCTACTACAGTACTATGGACAAAACCAGTCCCACGTTGGAGCCAAAGGGATCCAAATGACATCAGGACAGTTGTTATTAACGTGTTGGAGGGCAGCACCAAGGTTCACCTGAGCTGGAATTACGCCCTGTCAGATGGCTCAGATCTAAGGACTACAACTTTTTCCATTAACGATGGTACTGGTTGGAATGATATTGGAGTTATATACCATTCTGACAATAGCACTGTGATATATGACAGAAATAATTACAAGACAAGATTTAATATCAGCGAAGGTGATGTGGCCACCCTGATACTAAAAAAAAGTGACTCAAAATGAACTAGCGATTTTCCAATGCAGGCTCTCCACGCTAAGAAACCCTTGGATCTACAGGATTCACGTGAATTTTACAAGTAAGTATCAGTTAGGCAATTTTGTGTAAAACTCCCGTCTTTTCCGTCACTTCATCGTTCTCGTTACTTCTGTTTACTTTCCTTTTTATTTCCTTCGTTTCATAAAAGGCAAGTTTATTTCTCATAAGTTTTATGATAGCCATCCAGAACTATGGTCTTTTGATAAAAATTGATGAAGTGGAACCTCGATTTAACGAACCTCTATATAACGAAGTCCTCGGTATAACGAACGATACTTCAGTTTCAGCCCGGCTAAAGTTACAGTAAAATGTATGCCACAGAACCTCGATATAACGAACCTAATATAACGAACCAATTTTCCCAGTCCCTGGCACTTCGTTAAATCGAGGCTCCATTGTATCCCCCTGTGTTATCTGGACTTCACCTCTGTGCCCAACTAGTCCAAGTTAATAAAGGGTGAAAGTTTCAAAAGAAACTGTGATGCTGCGTCGGTGGGGGTAACAAGGTAATTTGGTATATCAACTTAGCTGAAATTGTAAATTGGCTACCGTAACGAGTTAAAAAACTGACGTAAACTTTTTTTTATTGGGAGAAAATCTATTCATATTTTAGAGTGTGCGACGCGTCAGCCGCTGCGCCATTTTTAACCTCCGCTTGAAAGACGAAGAATTTTTCGCTGAATGTTGATAGATAAACTAAGACAACAATTGGTTCCTTTTTTTTTATTTCTCATTTCGTCAGAGCGACATCTCAACTGGGTGGAGCGGCCTTTATCTGTTGTTGTTGTTGAACGACACAACATCACCCTTCAGTGGACCTATATGAAAACACTTGGCATAGCCTCAACATTTCGAGAGGCAAAACTCATTGATCTTAGTCGCGGGGAAACAACCATTTTAGAGAAAGCGGTGACCACTTTGCCACATGTAAATGAAGCGTACAGACCTCGGTTTCACGTCGATTATATACAAGATACTAAAGCGTCCATAACCATTGTTGGTCTACAAAGATCAGACGGAGGAAGATATAGATTTGATGTTAAAACTCACAGGAAGGACATCGACCAACTTAACACGCTCTCCAGTATCATGGAACTCTCAGTTCAGTGTAAGTAGTGCCACAAACAGAAGCTGTGTCTGGTAAAAGGTAGCGTATGTCTCTAAAGCAAAGGTGTTTTTCTCAGTATAATTCCTTTGGGAAAAGTAAGTAAATATCACTACCATAGGCTGTATGCGATTATTAAGAGCTTTATAACCAAGGCATTTTATATTCTGATAGCTATCAGAACATTTCATACGTTGCAACCTCGCTGGGACGAATGATTTATTGATTTCTATTGTTCTCTTCATCAAATTTAGAGCACAACTTTTTTTAAAGAAACTTACCAAATTTGTTTTCGCCATCGTCACTGTTGTCGTGGAGAGGGTTCCAAAAATTTTTTCTTTATTTCAAACAACAAGCTGTTTTAGTATTTTTACCTTCAACGCTATTTGTATGTGTTAAATATTTCTCTTCTGCTATCCATTCTTCTAGGTTTTTTTTTTAATTTTCTTTTTTTTTTCCCTGTTAATAACAACCATTTGTTCTGTACACAATTTGGGTGATGTTTTAACCAGGATTATGAGATTTTTGAGTGATGGGGGCTGTGTTCTTATTTTCTATGTTGAATTGGGATGGATGCAAATGGTAAAGCAATGCGAGTGAACTTGACTATACCGAGGCCTTACTCGACCCGAAATACTGTTTATTTTTAGATGCGGCGAACATGACGAATGTGAGCGACCACCAAATTGTGCGAGAAGGATCTGTCCTTCAATTGTTCTGTCAAGCATCTGGCAATCCAGCCCCAAACATAACGTGGACCAAAGTGCCTGAAAATAGTGACCATTATGGTAAGGCGCTACTTCATGGATCCACTTGGAAATTTACAAGCATTAACAGAACAGCTTCTGGAAGCTACAACTGTACAGCCGACAATGGAATTGGATGTCCAATTTGGCGCGTAACAGAAGTCAATGTTACCTGTAAGTATTCAGTAACTTTTCGCTCAAATGATCGCTATAATATTCACAATGAAGGTCTCTTTCTTTCCCAACGCCTGCAGAAGAGAGACGTCCCATGGTTTATTATATATAATTAACGCTTGAGAGGATGGCTCATATATTTTACGACGCAGATCAAAACCATTCTCAATTCTATTTTTTAACTTCTAATTTTTGTTAGTGTTTTGTCTGAACTTACAGGCATTAGTCGATCGCGTGTCTGGATAGCCTGGGTCGAGGGAATCCTGAAATAGGAATGGTGGCGGTGACTACCTAAACAAAAATGGGGGACGCTAAATTGACCAATCAGAGCGCGCGCTTTGGTTATGTTATAACAAAAATTATCTTCAAAGTCAAGTGGCAACATTTCTTTTCGGTTTTAATTTATGGGTAAGGTATATCATAGAATATTGATAGTCTTGTATTGCTGTGATGTACTCTCCCCAGCTGTTGTAATTTTATAGATCCAGCCAAGGTCATCAAGCTTGCCAGTGAACATGAAGTTGCAGGAAAGAAAAGTGTAAATCTTCAATGCGAAGCCGAAGGAAATCCTCAGCCAGCTTACACGTGGTCCCCATGTGATCCACAGAACCAAGCATGCCACGAGAGCACACTAACTATTTCCAATGTTCTCTATGATGCCGTATACTCCTGCAATGTGGCAAATGGTTTGGGTAGTGATACAAGAAGGACCAACGTTGGTAAGTTGATACGGTTAAGTTCAGAGATGAGAAATTCTTCCTATAACACTTTTTTAATGACCTGATTCTGGGAAGTTCAAGACTAATATTTACAGCCCTTTATTGTTGTTATCGAAACCAATCCTAGCGTGGAATAAAGCAATCCCTTGTTGATAAAAAAAAAAAAAAAAAAAAAAAAATTAACTAGTTCAATGACGCCAAGTATGTCAAAGTAAGATTAAAACTTTAGGCAGGATTATTTTTGCATTTTTCTAGAAGTCATTATGATAGTTATGCCATTCTGGTAAGGCTTAGTGACACTGGAACAGCTGAACATGGCTTTTAGCTCGGTGGCTTACTTTTTCCTCATACATCTACCAGTGTTGCCTCTTCTGCTACATCACCATTTGAAATTAAAGTTGCTGTCTTTATTCATTAAACAGTCATAGTGGATACTGTGATAAATGCGTCACTTTTCATCAATGAACAATGTCATGGAGAAGCTTTGTCTGTATCTGTGTTACTGGAGAACCTTAAAGCGAAGGTAATCAAGCACAATTAACTTATAAAAACCGTCGGTAACGAATAATATTGTCACTCAAGCTTCCGTAGGAACGATCGAGTCTCAAAATGCAAGCCCTTCTTTTTCTCATGTGTTCGCCAACACTACGTCATGGTCTCAAGCGTTCCAAGAGGAGACGGGGGAAATTGGGAATAAGAATCCTGATAACTTGCTTACAGACGGTAGTTTGTCTTTTCAAGCGCCAGATTCAGCGCGTCCACTCTAGCAAAATGGTACTAGTATATCGGTGCATGGGTGGGGTTTTCATGGTATCATTTTGCCATTGCTTCTTGTAGATCGACGAAATATTTGAAAATGAAGAAGGATACACAAGCACGGAGTTGGCAAATTTCAGGTATGAAGGCTATATGAAAATTTAATAAGTTTTCCGAATTAGAAAGCGAGATGTCGCTCAGTAAAAACAATTTATCGCTCAGAGCAAACTGTTTTACGATCAGGGATTGACCGTATTTTCCAACTGCAAGAACAGTAGCTTCGCTTTGTATCGGTCTTATTATTGTATCGTTCAAATAACGTCGAGAACTCGCAATTCTACTTTAGCCAGCTAAGCGTCGGTCATCATTGATCTCATCAGTTGAAAAGTAGTTTGAAACTCTTTTTTCTTTTATTTTCCAAGGTGTCGGAGTGCGATTGTTGATTTAGCCTTGAAGTTTAATTCCTCTACCAAACAAGATAAAGTACTTACAATGCTGCGAGACTCTGCCAACAGTGGAGCGCTAAAAGAGTTTTGTGTGAGAGCCTCAGAGGTAGTGGCTTGGCGACCTAACAGTTCAACTTATAGCATCAAATGTATTCAAAGTAAGTGGCAATTCCTGAATAGTCTGTTTTACGAGACATGATGTCAGCAAGTTTCTGTAGATAGGAGGGCTTTTAAAACGTACAGTGTAAGCTGTGCTATACGTCTTCAGAAATTCGGACTATTGAGCCATTCGTATGGTAATTCACGTGATGGTACAATTGTCCTCCATACGCCATGATAAAAATCATGACAACATGGTTCGATCAATGCACTTAACATCATATTTAGATATTTTTTCATGTCTCCATATCACTATGATGTTAAGTCCTGAATTAATCTCGTTCCTGAAATCATAACTATGATTTAGTGCAATAATAAATCATAGATTTGAGCCTCGTGGGACGATTGCATCATTTCTATAGTCGTAACCAGGTTTTTTGGTGATATGAATCATAGTTACGATACTCATGGGATTGTTGAATCCCTTCTAGCATCATAACTATCATTTCCAGTGGTAATCATAAGTCATAGACATAATTCTTACAGGGCTTTTGAGCCACCTCTAGAATCATAACTATGATTTAAAGTGGAGATTATAAATTAGAGCCATGATTCTTACGGGACGTTCGAATCGTTTTTGATTTACGATGATATGAAACATAGCTATGATTCTTATAAGATTGCTGACGGGTATGTCTAGAATCATGACTATGATTCCCATTGACAGCATTAAATCGAGGACTCGATTCTAATGGGACTGTTGAATCATCACGAACATCATAACTGTAATTTGAAAATCGACCATTTATTCGGGATCAATGTGACTGTACCGAGAATTTTATTCAATCACCTCTTAAATTTCAAGATATTGCAGTTTGCATGTCCTCGTCAGTGCTTAACGCTTCACGTCTCGGAAACTCCCCACGTTCTTCGCTAAAATTCAACTCGATAGATCAGACGGGTCAAATCAGACAGATCGGTGCTATCAGACGAATAACAGGATAAACAGCAATGGCAAAGCAATCCCAAAACAGCAGAAATCGTCAAAAAACAAGACGAATATACAAGGAATGATTAAGTTTTATTGATCTAACGAGTAAAATGTTAATATTTCGGAATATGTAGTGTTTCAACTCGACCATATATTATTTCCCATACTATTCCAAGATTACAAGATTTATCTCTCTTCCTTTTGTTATCAAACGAGATCTCGGAATGCGTCGCGAAACTGAAACTAATTTCATTGACAGTGAGATAACAGATAAAAATAGACGTAAAGTAGTATAAATTGAATAAACAAAATAAAATAACTAGAAGAAAGAACACTTAAATTAATGAATGACCGGGTTGTATAAAATTTATGTCTTATTATATTTAATATTTTAAATGGTTATTTTTAGTATTAAGTACTAACCACACCCACGACTTTTACCCACACACACACCCACGACCCACGACTTGTACCCACGACCCACGACCCACGACAATTAGTCAAACTCGTGACCATTGAGTCATAGAGGCTGGTTTCGTGTTTATGTTATCGGATTTCACCCGTGAAAGTCATGTCTTTGTGGAGTTGAAATATAACACAAACATACTAGGGGATAATCTGTTTTATTTAACGGAATAAGGAAACCGAGAATAAACCAAAGCGGTAGGAGCTAGGAGCCGTCGATGATTCGAAATGACGACAATTTCGTCAAAATGCCATCTGTGTATGTATACATTAATTTAGGCGAAGATAAGGGTATAAAAGTCATGGATTCTTAAATTGTACAACCAAGATATGACACAATCCGCTGTCTGTATGGATCAATACAGAAAAAAAAGAGGGAAAACAAATGATTTCACACATTGGCGTGTCGAGTCTTCCGTGACTGGCGTTGTGTTACACGTGATTGTTGTCATGCTTTTAGCTTGAACACGACATGGTTTCCATGATCTGTCAGTTTTCTTCTCGCCTAACGGGCGAATTGTTATCGTGCGCAGGATGATATGTTCTCTAAAGAAAGGCTGATAGTTTCGAAAGAAACTGTTTGGGGCTGCGTCGGTGGGAGTAACGAAATAATTTGGATATATCAACAAAGTTGAAATGGTAAATTGGCCACCGTAACGATTACAAAAGCTGACGTTTCGAGCGTTAGCCCTTCGTCGGAGCGTTAGCCCTTCGCTCCGACGAAGGGCTAACGCTCGAAACGTCAGCTTTTGTAATCGTTACGGTGGCCAATTTACCATTTCAAATTTGTTGATATATCCAAATTATAAAGGTTCTCTAAATAGATGGCATCATTCATTATTTTCAAAGGCAGAGTGTAATGTTTGCTGACGCTTTCATGTTTTTTAAATGTTTATTTATGTTGTCGTTCTGCTTTCAATTAGTGTTGAATTGTTGCCATAGATAGAGGAAAGCTTCAATGTAAACCACAAGCTCTCTGTGCTCAGCACTGTAAGTACTTATTGAGCCTAACATGATTTTTTTTTACGTGTTACGAAGAAGAATACTGATTACTTAACGCGCTTCATTTTCTCGCGAGTACCATGCACTCGCCCAAGGGAAGATTGAAGTCGGAAATGGTTCATTGGCTTTTAATAAAAACTTCCTTTTGTCACTAAATTGTTATTTTGATGTTACCAACTGTGCAAGCTGTTAAGTAGTTATGGTACTAGTAAGACTAGAAAGTTTTGTGTAAATCGCAGTAAAGGATAAGGACTTAGTGGGGGAGGGTAGTTGTCAAAGCCTTGCAGGGCTTAATTTGGGATTAGAACACAAAGTGCAGGTAAGGGGGGTGGTCAGTTTCTAAATTATCAGGTTAGTGCAAAATGTTTTGGGCTCAACAAGACCAGTGCCGTGTGGCTAGCCCCCCCAGGGTTCTGGAGTGCAATGAGAATGCTGGTCACGCGACTTATGGATGCTCAAACCCTTACCCTAATACAAATCTAAATGAAGATACTGGAAAAAAGGTCAATGGAACTACCATGATTTCTGCAATCTCAGCCCTAACCATAGGTTTTAGTCGAGACTCGTCATAGCGGTTTCCTGAGGGTGTCAAATACCTTAGTCACGTGATGTCCAATATTCCCCTTAACCCTAGCCTTTGAATACAAAATAGCCCATATTTATTCAGTTGTAATTTGGCGATACAAACTTAGCCTCACTTCGTTGGTCCTTATATGGAGCATCCGTTACAATATTTGCGGCTTAGAGACACCATGGGCTCAGACCTTGGGGTCCCATGACCTAGAGCAACAGTTCATGTTTGGAAGCGCTTAAATCGATTCGGTTTCTCGCTTTTCTGGCCGTTTATAAGTGTTTTTCGAGCCATTTACTCTCTACAAAAGCCCTCAAGACGGCAACATTAAGCTGGATTGTGGGTAGAGGCAGGCCTCTGAAGGAAAACAGAGGTGAGAGATGGTTTCATGTTGAGTGGACCGCCAACAATGCTTTACTGCCAGCTTGGCGAGTTCACAAGTGAAGTTGTCTCTTGGGCCTATCTGTGGATGGCTTTCAGAACCTACCAAGGCTACTTGGCCAAGTTTTGACCGGTAAAAATTTCAATCGATGCGATATTTTGCTGGTAGGACTGGATGGCCCGGCACTTATAATAATTCTTTGAAATGGCAATGATAGTAGTTGCCTTTTCGAGTTATGGCGGAATTACCCAGAATTATTTTCGGGCATGAACAAGGCAACGATTGTGTTCGCGACACTGGCTTTCATCAAATGGAGAAACAAGGGCTGGCAGATAAAGTGAGAAGGAATTTTCTTGCCAAACTCCAAGATCTGGCCCTGAGGTGTGATTTGAAGGCAAAATTTTGATTTTTTTAGCAATTTTTTTATCTTAAAAGATCGACATGTTTTTGGTGTTGCTCTTGGAGCAAACTGCTGGACTTTGGGATTTGTTGCCATACGAACGGTTCACTGCAATGAAAATCAGGAATCATTGTGGGCGTTTTAGGTTGCGATAGGTGTCACATCAACGAGCCGTTGCAATTCACACACTTACATAATATTGTGTCTTAAGTTCGACAAGAAACAAGTATCAAGAGTAGTAACGGTATTATCTGGACATATGTGTTCACTTCGTATGCAAAGGGTTAAGAGCTTGACAACAATGTGTTGATAACGGCTTAAGATTATTGTTTGAGGTTTCCTACGTTAGCATCATTGTGGTCGGAAAAAAATTAAATACAATTTAGTTCTCAGACATCTTAACGTTGACCACATTGTCTTCCGGAACGATTATTTTGGCGCTCTATCACAAAAGCGGAATGGAAACGACATTTCTCAAAAGACATGGCTCAGATCTAAGGACAACAACTTTTTCCATTAACAATGGTACCGGTTGGAATGATATTGGAGTTATATACCATTCTGACACTAGCACTGCGATAGATGGCAAAAATAATTACAAGACAAGATTTAATATCAGAGAAGGTGATGTGGCCACCCTGATATTACAAAAAAGTGACTGAAAGTGAACGAGCGATTTTCCAGTGCAAGCTCTCCACGCTAAGAAACTCGGACCTACAAAATTCACGTGAATTATACAAGTAAGTATCAATAGGCAATTTTGTGGAACGCCTATTATTGTATCCGACACATGTGTAAAACTCCAGTCTTGTCCGTCACTTTCTCGTTCTCGTTACTTTTGTTTACTTTCCATTTTATTGCCTTCGTTTCATAAAAGGCAAGTTTACTACTTTTATAAGTTTTATAATAGCCATCCTCAGCTATGGCCATTTGACAAAAATTGATGTAGCGGAACCTGGATTTAACGAACCTCTATATAACGAAGTCCACGGTATAACGAACGATACTTCAGTTTCAGCCCGGCTAAAGAAATAGTAAAATGTATGCCTCGGAACCTCGATATAACGAACCCAATATAACGAACCAATTTCCCCAGTCCCTGGTATTTCATTAAATCGAGACTACACTGTATCCACTTGCGTTATCTGGACTTCACCTCTGTGCTCAACTAGTCCCAAGTTAATAAAGGGTGAAAGTTTCTAAAGAAACTGTGTTGCTGCGCCGGTGGGGTAACAGGGTAATTTGGTATATCAACTAAGCTAAAGTTGTGAATTGGCCACCGTAGAGAGTTGAAACGCTGATGTTTCGAGCGTTAGCCGTTCGTCAGAGCGAATGGAGGAATTGCGGGTTGTGTGTGGGTTTATATGCAGAAAGTGGAGCTACGCTATTGGTGGAAGCATGGCGACCAGAAAAACACAACTAAATTATTAGAATGAAAAACGTTCGTTGATACCTATAGGATTAAGAGTGCCGATTTTAAAGGTAAACTTTTGTTTAAGAGTTTTGCAGCTTTCTGAGCTACCTAAATGCAAGGAAAGACCGCAGATTGCCATATGTTGCTTAGAATGATTAGGTATATTAAAGTTTCTAGCGACTGGTTTTGATGCATCCTTGTCATTCCCTTCTACGTCGTGAAAGTGTTCTCGGAATCGTTAACCTAGTCGTCTTCCTTTTTCGCCGATGCATATCTTTTTACAATAAGTGCAAGTTATGCAATAGATGACGTTGGCGGAGGTGCACGTGAAGTGATCAGTGATCTTGATGGATCGTTTGGATCGTCCCGACAAATGTTCATTATCTCAATTCCTGTAGAGTCAGTGAGTTTCGATTAGAAGTGTAGGTGACTTTAAAAGCAGAGCCATTTACAATCACCGATTTAAGGTGTACGGGTCAGACGAATTAATTCAGAATTGACAATTTTGGGTTACTTTTTGGTCAGAGCGCCATCTGAACTGGGTGGAGTGACCGTTGTCGGTTGTTGGTGTTAAACAACACAACGTCACCTTTCAGTGGACTTATATAAAAACACTTGGCGTAGCTTCAACATTTCGAGAGGCAAAACTCATTGATCTTAGTCGCGGGGAAACAACCATTTTAGAGAAAGCGGTAACCACTGCGCCACATGTAAATGAAGTGTACAGACCTGGGTTTCACGTGGATTATATACAAGATACTAAAGCGTCCATAACCATTGTTGGTCTACAAAGATCAGACAGGGGAAGATATAGATTTCATGTTAAAACCCACAGGAAGGACATCGACCATTTTCACACGCTCTCCAGTATCAAGGAACTCTCAGTGCAGTGTAAGTAATGTCACAAACAAAAGCTGTGTCTGTTCTTGTAAAAGGCAGCTTATATCTCTTAAAACCATTTTCTTTTTGTTTGTTTCTTAGTATAATGCTCATCACAACCACTGTATGTACGTTACAACTTCAGAGGGACAGATTGTCAGCATTTTGATTATCGTTATCATTTTTTCGTCACCATCATCGTAATCGTTATCGACATCATTATCGTTATTGTTGTCGTTTCGTCGTCATTTTCACTATTCTCAACATTCTTTCGCTGTTTTAGACAAAAGCCATTTAGGTTGTTTCGCCTTCAATTCTCTTTTGCATTATTTTTTTTTTGGTTAATTCTTTGTCTTTCCCCTACAAAAAGATGAGAACTTTAACATTCAAGGTGATACTTGACGCCTTTGCACTATGACTTAAGGATCATTGCATTTATAGGTAGCTTTTGCCAGACACATAACTCTCTCTTGTGGTGTTCTTTCATTTCTTTCGTTAAATTAGCGCGGTTGCAACTTGTAAAACAATGCGTGGATTTGACTTTCACAAGAGTTTACTCGTTCTCTCTATACTTTTCCCACTCAGTTAAATGTGTGTTATTTTCAGATGCGGCGAACTCGACCAATGTTAGCGACCACCAAACTTTGCAAGAAGGATACTACCTTTAACTGTTCTGTCAAGCCTCTGGCAATCCAACCCCAAATATAACATGGACCAAAGTGCTTGAAAACAGTAACGATAGTAGAGTGCTGCATCAGGAACCAATTGGAATTTAGTAAAAATTAACAGAACTTTTTCGGGAATATACAACTGTACAGCTGACAATGGAATTGGAAATCTCATGTGGCGTCTAATAAAAGTCAATGTTACCTGTAAGTGTATCATACCTTGTCACCGCTATAAATGGCACCAAGAATTTTAATTTCCGCTGTATTTTTCCATCTCCCAAAACGACTGGTAAAGAAAAGTATCCCTAGGTTCACGCTCCAGAAGTATGAGTGATATATATATGTTTCAGAGTGTATTTCAAAAACCTGATTTGAGTTTAACCTCAAACTGTATTTCAGAATTTTGTTTAAACCTGAAGAAATTAGGTTGTTATGTTGAAAAGTCAATCGGGTGAAAGAAGTTTTGTAAAGAACTCTTGTTAGCGTCTAGGAACGAGGTTTTGACATGGATAGAAAAGATCATTAGCGTAACTGAAAAAGTTGCGTAACATTCTAAAGCTACGAGCAATGTTTAAGACAAGTGGTTTAAGACAGGTGGCCAGGTTTGCTGTAATCTTGTTTCCTACAAAAGTTCGCTAACGTTGGCAATTCTTCCCATCAGGAGACGCCGGCTGCAATATGTTATTTTTTACTCTTCTCTGTTTTTTTTTATTACTTAGATCCTGCTAAAGTTGTTAAGCTTTTTAGTGAACATCAAGTTGCAGTACAGGGAGGTGTATCTCTTCACTGCGAAGCCGATGGAAATCCTCGGCCTGCTTACACGTGGTCTCCATGTGATCCACACACCCAAGCATGCCACCAGAGCACACTAAATATTTCCAACGTTTTCAATGAGGCTGTATACTCCTGCAATGTAGCAAATATTTTGGGTAATGATACAAAAAAGACCAAAGTTGGTAGGTTGAATTTAATGATGCTAACTTAGGGGTTTTTCATAGTTTCTTTCGTGACAATTTAAGAACAACTTGATTCGTTTCCATTAGTATAACTATGACCACTGTACGCAACTTGCTCTTACACGAACTTAAACCTGTTCTTCACATGCAAATAATAACCAACAGGTAAGGAAACTTGAATTATTCCAGACCAAGCATTACCAAAGTATGATGAAATATGTAAGAGTTCACTGAATCACTGTTAGTCATATCTTCCTTTGTGGAAACCTATAAGTCATCATGCTAACCATACCGTACTGTCGAAGCTCAGGAAGGCTGCTTAATCTTTCCCGATTTTATCTGCGAGAAAAACCTCGTGAGACTTCCGTTGTCGCCCCAGTGATGTCTCCAGTGAAATAGCGCCTTTTTTAGACTAATTTTGCTGCTTTGGTTTTCTTAAACAGTCATAGCGGGCACTGTGATAAATTTGACACTCTTCATCATTGAACAGTGTCCTCAAGAAACTTTATCTGAGTCCGCGTTGTGAAAGAACCTTAAACAAAAGGTAATTACTATACCAGGTACGCATGAGACGCAACCATACGCGTGAATAAATATATCTTTTAAGACGTTTTTTTGTTCAGTATCGCAGAGTATTTTTACGAGTTCTGCCGTATTTTGACGAACCCGTAGGGCGAGTCAAAATACAAATATGATTCAAATTGTCCGCCATTTGTTTTTTTTTTCGTAACTACAGTCCAATTCTTCGCTTGCGCGATTCGAGAAAACCTGTTTAACCGGTACTCTACAATAGACAAGTACAAATACCGCGTGATATTTGTACTGGTCTCTGGCGTTATTTGTACTCGTCTAGGTATAGTTGGATAGTAAATTCATTTAATCGTCAGAACTGTGCTTCTTAAGTGTCGATACACACATGGGATCCGCACTGCATAATTTTGCTTTCGATTTCGTGTCTTGTAGATTAAAGACGTATTAAAAAATGAAGGACACACAAGCACAGAATTAACAAGTTACAGGTATGGACGCTAAACGTATTATTAGCTGGGTAAACTGTTCTGCATGTTTCTTGAAGAAAGGTGTTGATGGGGACTTAATGTGAGTACAATGACTGGAACTCCATATCCTACTCTCTAGAATAGGTGTGCCATTTATTTAAGTCCCCTCCGTGCTGGACATATTACAAAGAAGATACGAGCGACTGGGCCTAAGACCTATCGTCATTACTCTGAAAAATTAGAACGTCTCAGGACTTACGGCTGGTCTCGCAGGTAGACAAACTGTTTGAAATGTTTGTTTTTGCAGTAACTAACCCGCCTAGGTGTGGTAGTATGATTGTTGATTTAGCTTTGATGTTCAATTCCTCTGTGAAAGAAGAGAGGGTACTTTCAATACTACAAGATTCGGCAGAGAATGGAGAACTGAAAGACTTGGGGGTGAAAGCCTCCGAAATAGTAGGTCGGCGACCTGGAAGGCCAACTGAAGCACCTAAAAGCTCAACATAAAGCATTAAAAGTACTGAGAGTTGTACATGTAAGTACCAATGAAAAGCAAGTATATGACCAGGACTAGCCCTGGACAACAGATACTGCTGTAAGTTTACGTTATTCCTGACTTTTCACATATATGTGGTATGTGGAAATGTTTTAATCAGTTTTTAGAATGGATAACGTACAATTACAAATAAATCGATGCTATTGTTGTTCTGAGGAGGAGCATCGATTTTTTAGGCAATGCAAGCTCCTGACAATTGGCCAGATTATTCTGAAGTATGGCCAAGAATATCGATAAAAAGACTGCACGATGTACGATTTTTTTCTGCTAGTTATTTTTATGGCAAAATAGAAACCAAGAAAAACAGCCATTTAAAGCCTTGACTAGTTGACTTCTTTAAGCATTTCGATTTGCTTGACTTATGAAGACAAATTCGTTGGCCAGTTAATCAAAGCTTGTGTATGTATTAAATCGATAAAGGACACTTAAGTAAGGGTCATTTCATTTTTTCCTGCCTCCTTTCCTCAGTATCTGCTATACCTTCCGAATACCCTGCTCAGACGGAAGGTGACGATGGTCTTTAGGACTGGATGATTGCTGTTATTGCCTCTGTTTCCGGTCTTGTCCTCCTTTTTATCGTTATTTTCTTACTTTGTTGGATCAACAAGACTCATAAAAAGAAGAATAGCTCCGGAGGTAAAAAAATGTCAAGTTTGTAATATCCTCTTTTATATACAACTGACACACCGTGAACTTCTTGCCGAATGTCTTCAGTTGTTCTTTTATGGATGTTAAACGATGTAACATAGCTAAATCTGATGATAGTGACGGGTCTCATGTCATGTCATGTCAACAATACTGATGTATTTATTTTTGCTCTCTATTAAGATGGAAACGTTGACATGTCGACGACTTCAAGGTAAATTTTTCTTTTTTTTTCTATTACGATACTTTTCATACGAAACAGCGCTTTTAAATCTACTCAGGTTTTTTACAGATGAAGTGAAATTGGTTGCAGTATCTGATCGATGAGTTTGATCGATTCTTAAGACGTGCACCAAATCGCGGTAACTACATCGCTCTTGTCACAAACAACTGCTGCTGTAACTGTCGCTTCTTATTTGAGTAAAAAATGATTACGTTTGTGTAACTCTTAATTAGTGATCAAACATCAAACAGATCGCTAAGAGATGGAAAGTATGTCCGGGCCGCAGGGCTAGAGTGAAATTTGCGGCATTAGATGGGTGTTTTTCCCAATTTTCGAAGGCAAATTTCATTAGGTTAGGAGGATTACACCGATAAAAATGCGCTTTAGGTTATGTTAGTATCATGGTGATTTACTTTCTACAAATTGACGTTGGCAGAATGCAATGTTCGATGTCAACCATTGTAGGTATTTGAAACTGTAGGTATTTGAAACTGTAGAAAGCCTTTTGGTCAAATCAAACATTCTCCAGGTTTTGTGATGGGACCTTTTTTTCCTGTTTAGTTATGTAAAGAGTGGCCCCCATCATTCCGATAAGCCTTACTACAGCAGGGAATCTATTGAAGATGATCCATTTATTGCTGCGTCCACTCATTCCCTGAATTCAGTCGATAGAAGAGACAGGAAGAGAGATTCTAGCGTCAACTATGGATACCAACCAGACGGTAGAGAACTTAGACTTTTAGCAAACACTCTTGCTCCATATGATGCCTTATTCAGCTCATCATAGACAATTTTCATGATAATGTTTTCTTAGGAGCATGACTCAAATTGCAGTCATGTTTTATTTCGTTTTCTGAGGTGTGGAGTGAGTTGGGCTGGAGATGAGATGTTAGCTCACTGAAGTTATCCCCTCATTCTGCCCTTCCCCACCTCCAATGCTTCGTCAGGTTTCCTTGACTATTCACAGGTTGTTCAGTGGTGCTCATGTACAGAACTTCATGGAGAGGGGTACTGCGTGAAAAACATGTCGGGGCTTAGAATTCAATACAGGTACCCAGACTATACTTTGAACCCGAACCAGTTGATCCGGTTGCCAACATTCTATGTTTTTCTTTTTTCACTCCTTTCTCGCATGCCTAATGTGAACAAAAAAATTGGTCCGCCTAATGAAGTCTCTTCACCAACACTCTGGTAAACACACAAATCCGGTTGGTGTTGATGATAACGATGATGATGATGTAGTCTTTAAATATTGATTACACAACAACATATACCTGCAAGAAACGTGAAAGGTGTACAAAAATTTATCACTTAAGAGAAAACTAGTTATAATCTAAATGAAACCAAAAAGACATCTGTTGAAAAAAGTTCGCTTAAAACATTCCCTACGAATGTATGTTCTTTTCATCTTTCTCAGATTCTTATCAACCACAAGGTGAAATGCTGCTAAAATCAGGCACTCGTCTCCCTAAGAATGACCGTCTTACTCAAAGTACCTGAGAGCTTGATGTGACCTCCACATATTTAGCTCAGGGACCACAGCGAGATTGCAGTACACTTCCCTCTCACCACAGACCACCCTCTTATGAGGAAGCCTCGAAACAGAAAGATAGAATGATGATGACAGAACCAAGGCCAAGTAGATCCACAGGCGGCAGGCAGAGGCAACGGCAAAGGCCCTCGGAAGAGAGATGTCTATCGCTATTTATTACATTCATGTACATTTTATAAGTACAACCATTCATGCAACTCTCCCTTCCAGGACCACTTTATTTTATTGCGACGTAATAAGCGGCGTTGTTCCTCCATGCTGTGCTGTGTAGTGCTTTGTTATACTTTGCTATGTTGTGTCGTGCTCAGATCAGTTGTGTTCTGCTGTGTCGCGCTTTCTTGTGCTGTGCTTGGTTGGGCTGTGGTAGGATTTACCAGTGTAAGCCAACTTTTTTACACCGAGACTCCCGTTAATCCTTGATCGCCCCTTCCCACTTGCCTTCTCTCTTTTTCCTTCACGGACTTTAGAACAACATCTAGCATTTCTGGGAATCTTTAATGCCTATGTCGAGTTCTGATTATTATATTTTTATACAGGGCGGGAGAAGCCAGTGTAGCACCAAGTGAAATGAGGTCCAATCAAGACGAACATAGAGATACCATTAAGAAAGGGCCGCTTAATCTAACGGCAATTTATGCCTTGCCAGACAAGAAAAAGAAATTAAATTAACGAAGTCCTGAATCCATCGGAGCGGCTCTTGGTATGATAAATTGAAAACAAACAAGTAATAAGATTAAATTGAAAATTAAATATCGTAGTAGTGCTGCTAGTATGGCTTTCCATTCAAAGGTGTAAGGTCTTCTCATATTCATTAAAAATTTTCCTCCCCTTGATTTTATTTCCTTTTACACCCTTTTTTTTCTTGGGTAACCTTACTAAAAAAATTCCATAAGGAACTTAAGTTGTTCTCATGTTGATTGCGAAATCGGATTCATGATCTTTTCCACAATATTTTATTTCTTGGCTAGACTCATCCCAAGCAAATCCTACGAAGGAAGAACCTACTAAAGGACCAATTCTACAAAACCCTGTAAATTTGGACCTGGGTGACTCCACCTGTGTATGTTCGAATGAGGAGCCAAGGAACCTAATTATCCCCATCGAAATGTTACCTAACAACCGCCCAACGCCCAAAAGTGACGACACAGGTGGGCAAATAAATGTTGGATCAATTGATGTCGATCGAAGAACTGAAAAAAACTGAGAGGGTCGCGAGCGAAACTCTTTCATCTGGAAAGATCTTGTGATTACCTCTGGTGTCATCACTTAAAGAGATCTTTTCCATATCCCATTGTTTCTCCCCTAGAGTCTCTTGCAGTCGTGTTGAGGGCTCATGACCAAGAACGTTCAAATCGTGCAAGTATCATGGGTACTTATGACTCAAGAATGGTGCAATTACATTTAGCACCACTCCTGCATTTACATCCATTTCTGACAGTATAACAACAAAGACTTTGCATTATAACTCACTGAATGTTATTTTCTTGTTTGAACCTTCACAAATGAAAACTTTACTTACAGCTAGTGTTTTGTACACACAGAAAATGGAAAATCAGAGCCTTTGTCACCGCTTCATTTAACTTTGGAAAAACTACAACGTCCACGGAATAGTTCAAGCGGTGCTGAACGTTATCAGCCGGAGCGGAGTAAACTGGTAAAGTTCATGGAAAGAGATTTTTTCTTTATTCCAGACGTGAATTTGCAACTGCTCTCTTCAAAATATTCGTACAATCTGAACAACTGAGTGACGTCTTCTTCATGAACTGTTATAATGCGTTACACATAATCACCCTGGCGTTTTCCTTAAAAAAATTGAATTTTGATTAACCGGTTTCCTGTAAATGTGCATATTGAAGAACCCTTATCAAACTTGCAAGAAGGTCTAACGCATTAAGGTCTACACCAAAAAACGAGATGTTGATTCTCCAACAAAGAACGACAAAGCTCGGATATATGATGTTTGGATATAAATATACGAGCTAAACAAGAGGAAAGAAAGTCTAATTATTTTTTTTCGCCCACTACATAAAAACCGTGCATTCGGCTGATCAATTTCTTTAGTGCATGGACGAGAGGGGACACGATTACATTTGTACAAATTCAGCTCATGAAACATGGGAAAGGAAAGGAAGCCGTATTTTTTTTTACATGTATCCGTAAGCTTTTACACCCTAACATCATTATGCGTAATTGTCCTTACTCCTCTCTTGTCATTTCCTAAGGTACTAACATGTAGAATTTGTGAAGCGATCTAGAGTTTCTTTAATTGGTGGTCACGTCCTTTATTTCCGTGACCTCAATGTTAGATGCTAGTCACTCTCTCGGTGAAAAGGTTAAAGAATGGTCGGAAATTGTAATTGTTCATCCGTGATATTCCCCGGGAAAGGGCATAAAAGTAAACGCCTCTTGCATTGCTTTTTAAGGTCAGTTATCTTTGACATGTTGTCCTGGATCATAATCACTTTCCCTTTTATCCTACAGCCGTATAGGAATGTCCGTGGACAACCTGTGAGACCAGACACACTATCAATGACGATCTTCACAAGACTCGATCCACAAAAAGCCGGAAACACCTCAAAACCAGTGGAAGCCCGTCGGGTTCCAGACCCTCAGCAGGGAATCATCGGATGCTAGTTACGTCACGTACCTGGTCTGATGGCATGGTAATCTGTCTTCTAAACAGGTCTATATTCCTGATTTGAGCCCGAGGCATGTAACTTACATACAAATATCAAGCACAGCTATTCGCTTCCAACCGAAAAAATAACCTCTAGAGCTGTAATTTGGCTTCATTCAAAGAAGGGAACTGACTTTCAAATTGCCAGCTTTAGAGAATTCCATCTTTGGGACTAGATCACTGAACCGGCCCGATCCCCTGATGATAACACATTTCTCTCAGGTAATTGGCGAATTTTGTGCATTCTGAATGGCCAACCCAGTGTAGAATAGCTAAGTGCTGGTTAGCTCTAAACGTATCGAATATTTGCCGTTACACCGTCGAATATAGCGGCCATCTTAGGGTATATAACATGCTTTAACTATTCTAAGAGGGATATAATGCATTTTGACCTTTCCGTAAGTAAAAAAATGATTTGTGCTGTACATAAATGCATGACAACGTCAAAATATATTGTTAAGAAGGAAACCAACTATTGGTGTTATAAAGAAAAAGACGTCAACGGAATAAAAGGCAACACACAGTAACTACATCAGTTTGTGTATCGTTCTGTTTCTTTCGTACAAACATTTTCTGTTTACTAGTTTATTAGTCAATACTAAAATGAAATTT